ACTCATGGGGACTCGTCGGCCTGCTGGGCCGTCGTGCTCCCTGGGGTGTCTGCTCATGAGAGGGCCTGTTATTCAGAGAACGTCCCAGGCCCTCCCACCCTCCTGTAGTGTCTGCGCCTGTGGAGAAGAGGAGCTGGGAAAAACCCCAGCACAAGAGAGGACAATTTGTGGTTTGGAGCTGAGATGTTGCTGTTTAGGTAAATATTGTAGCATGGGAGGAGATGTGGGAGTTTTGTCAGCACAAGGAAAACAAAAGTGATAACAGTCATTGAGGGAAATATTTGTTTTCTCCAAAGCAAACCCTCAGATTGACGACTGCTCTCTCTGCTAATCATGAGACTACTCACACGGCTCAGCTCACATTAAGCACTTTCTCCTCGTTTACGTCATCGCCATATGGTCCACATTCACTGGGGAAACACGTACAGCATCATTATGTTAATACTGATGCTTCTGCTGCGGCACAAAGCAGACAGAAGGGATGAGTGCAGGGTGGAGGGGGGGGGGGGGGGGGGGGGGGGGGGGGGGCTGCTCACTGATTCCTGTACAGGAAGTCTGTCACGTTCTCAAGCAGAAATAAGGACACATGCAAATGGCTCAGCTGATGCAGACGGGCCATGAATGCACTGAGATCTGTGCTTGTTGCATTTGAAAGTGTTTATCTGGATCTCAGACACTGTTGAGCATCATCTGTACAAAGGAAGGAGGTCACATTAAAGCTGCAGCGTCATTTAGTGATGCTGCAGTGATTGGTCAACTTAAACACAATGTGGAACAATCAATGGGGACATTTGAAAATAAACAAACCACAAACGTAGCACCGTGTTGCTGTGATGATTATATTCCCCGCAAGACAAAAGCAATGAAGTAGGTCATTTTAGAGACTTCAAAATTGAGGGTAATCGAAATGAAGATGATTTGTTGCCTTTGGATAATGCATCCATTGAGGGTTAACAGCATTTCTATAACTAGTACTGTTACATCCAGAACTGTGCACACACATCATGGATTAGCCAAAAGCCTGCTTGTTTATCGTTATTTCACTCATGCTGGAATTCAATTCATTTCACAGCAAACAGACAAAACAAACCATGCTGAACATTCAACAATTTGACTAAATTTTCTGAACAATTCTGGACCAAAACTTGAATTAGTTAGATAATAAGAAGCTTGATTATGTTTTGGAAATCATTTAGTTTTCAGTGTTTGGTTGATTGATTGATTTCTGTACTATACATAAATTGATAAATAGAATTCTAACTTGAAGACAAAAACTGAAAATTAACAAATACCCCAAGTGGCTCCTCTGTGAATTCAACAATTATCTGTAATATAGTTATCTGCTGCCCTCTGCTGGTCACATTGGTTTAAGGTCAATAACGTGTTAAAATCGTATGAACCATTAGGTGGCGCTGCACTGTGCAGAAATATTGATCCCTTTTATAAAATCCTAATTAAATATCAAGGTTTACCAGCACACATTACGACCAATTACAAACTGAAACATTGTTGCACCCCAACCAATATATATAAAGACAATATGTGTCCTATAGAGGAAATCAAATACTGTGACTCATGAAAGTGACACTGGTTCCTCCATTATATTCCCACTGCTGTATATCTAATGTACATCTATAGTCTTTTAAAATTGTTTAGTTCAGCGTTAACGTGTCTTCACACTGAGATGAATTAGTTTTTCATGACTCGTGATAACAATTTCCAACCAGGTACTTCCTCAATATACAGTTTCTATTTTGACCTGTATCATATTAAAATATGTTCTTTATATTTAAATTTTATGACTCAATTGGGCAAAACCGTATTACACAAGGCTCATATCATACAGCTGCTGGTTAATTTGTGATTGTTATCTGCAATAAAACAGTGTTTTTTTTGCTCCTATGGATCATGATGTCATTAACTATGACAAACACTACTTATCAGGTGAAAGATGGGCTATTTCTCGTTGTGGTAACTTTCACCAGACCACTCATACATATAGTATACACACAAGCAAGTTTTTAAACACCCAGTGTTGTTCTGGGATATTGTTTAGCCTATCACAGATATGTTTCTCTGTGAGTTCACAATTTAAGAGTTTCAAAAATGAATACTTCTACTTTTAAGATTGCAAGTTCACTCTCACCCTGTAGTATTAAATTCAAGCAACAGAATTTTGAATAAAATCCCACGAGTGCCCTTAAAACAAGATTTTATTCACTGCAATTTAGGAGCAGATTTTAGAGACTCTCCCTTATCAAGAATTCAAGTGAAGTTCACATTGCACCCGGAAAGAAAACTTCTATTTTGCAGATGAGCCATTTATAATTCTTTCCACACATGAACTGTTAAACTACATTGTAACACCACATTTGTTTCTTATGCACCAGCAAAACACTGAAGAAAACAGTAGAGGTCAGAGTATGTAAATATATTATTTAGTTCAACATTTAAACAGAGAAATAAACAGTAATGACAGGCCATTTAAACAAGGTTCTTTATTTGACAATGAGACAAGTTGGCCAACAGCAGCTTTCCTGTTCATAGTCACGCCTAAAACTTCTGGAACTGCTTCTTGGCTCCAGCAGCCTTTGTCACTTTGAGGACGTTGAATCTCACGGTCTTGCTGAGTGGTCGACACTCACCGACGGTGACAATGTCTCCGACTGAAACGTCTCTGTAGAAACAAAACACAACCCAGACATTAACCGGCAGTTGAGATATATCTGTCCAGTGTTGAGTGTAAGATTTTAGCTGAGCTGCATCAGTGTTTGCCAAAGGCAGTATCATCAGAGCTTCTTGAGCTTAGAAGACCATCGTGAGAAAAACATCATTTGCAGCTAAATCTATTTTAGGGCAAAATTATATCATCTAACGAGTGGACTACAGACAGTGATACTTTTGAGAGCTGAAGGAAAAAAATACATCTCTTCAAGGAATAAGTACGTTTTACACTGTTGGACAAAATCATTACCATATTAAATATCAAATTTGGATACGTGAAACGTGGAAGCATTTCACAAAGCTTGTTTAAATACATATTCAGGAAAATGTCAAAGACCGGAAAGCCACACATCATAATGTATTGTAGAGCTGTAAATGTATCACTTGTGAGAGGTGCAGTACCTGAAGCAAGGTGACAGATGGACAGAGATGTTCTTGTGCCTCTTCTCAAAGCGGTTGTACTTGCGGATGTAATGCAGGTAGTCGCGTCTGATAACAATGGTCCTCTGCATCTTCATTTTGGTCACCACACCTTTGAAAGAGACAGAAGCTTCTATGAACATTACAGACTGCACTTAAAACAGAGGTCTAACAGTAGTAGGATGTGAGAAACAACCCACTCCTCTTTTATTAAAGGTTCAGTGTGTAATATTTACTGACATCTAGTGGTGAAGCTGCAGGTTACGGCTGAATACCCTCACCTCACCCTACCCTTCAAAACATGAAAGAGAAGCTTTGGTACTTCAGTTGTCATAAAACTCACAAGGTGTTTATTCTGTCCCGTCTGGGCTACTGTGAAAAACATGGCCTCTGTAGAGAGGACACACTCCTGATGCAATTATACAGCATTAAGATATAAATGGGTTCGTTCTAGGGTAAAAAACAATTAGTACAATTAAAATTTAACACAAGTGAAAACATCACAAGGATTCTATTATATTCAGTTTCTGCCAATAGATCCATTTCACTTAAATGTTACACACTGAACCTTTAACTTTAATATACAGTCACTAGAATACATCAGTGTTGCCATTGGGCATTGTCGTCAGAACCCTGAGGGCTTGGAAGACCATCGTGAGAAAACATCATTTGTAGGACAGTGACATACAAATACCTTTCATTTGCCATTTGTATTAAGTGGGCCAGCTGGTTCTGGCTTGGATTGCTTCGCTGATGACAATAATCAGGATAAAATTGCCACTTTGATGCTTTCATCAAAGCTAATGCATGAACTCCATGACACTACTGAAGCAACCCAAGCAAGGACCAACATGCCAGTGATTAATTTTGACAAGTGTTAAACTGACCAGAGAGGATACGGCCACGGATGGAGACATTTCCAGTGAAGGGGCATTTCTTGTCAATATAAGTGCCATCAATAGCCTGAAGAAAACAAAACAGACACTATTAGAATTATCACTTTATATCTATTTCGAGAAATGAAGTAAGTTTTAACTAAATGCATCAGTTTTGCCATAAGGCGATGTCGTCAGAACCCAGGGGGCTTGGAAGACCATCGTGAGAAAAACATCACTTGCAGCAAACATTGACCAACTTAACTCTAGTTTACTGATATGAGGAACTTTCTGGACAACGATGCGGTACCTCTCTTGGGGTTTTGAAGCCCAGTCCGACACTCTTGTGGTAGCGGGGGAGCTTCTCCTTGGCCTCCTTGCCACCATCAGCGACCAGAACACGCTTCTTGTTCTGGAAGATGGTGGGCTGCTTCTGATAAGCCCTCTCGGTCTGCAGGGCAACAATAATCAAGATTAGTCAGATCCAGTAACATGGAAGACACCAACTCTTCCTCCCCGATCGCTCACTCATACACTGAGTGGCTCGCACACGACCGCCCTGCCTCGCTAACTCATTAAAAACTGATTTCCCTCTTTGACGGATTACATTTGCTGAAATAACACATTGTGATGTTAGTGACAGTGGAATAATTAAGTGGTATTTGTTTCCAGAAACAGTGACCCATTTTAAAAAAGATGAGAAAACGGAAGGGTTAACAGTAGCAGGCTAGGCTAACAAAGCTAACACCCCAGCTAGCTCAACGTTACACGCGGGTATGCAGCTCGGCAACAACAAATATCAGCTATTGAAGCTTAAGTGCGGTTAAAATGTACAAGGTGTCGTGTATAAAGACCCCGAAAATACACTGACTTAATAAAACATGGCAATTAACTTTACTAAAACGTGTTTATGTCGATTTGAAGCCACCACGCCGTTTTCCCGAACCTACTTGTGCATCCGCCATCTTTGCCTGCCGAGTTGTAAAGAGGCCTATGCATGCGCGCGACGGGCGGAAGACCACGAAACACGGGAAGTGACGTCAAATGACGGGTATTAAAAATTATCAAGAACATTTCAAAAATATTGTTCCACAAACTTCTCTAAGTTGTCCACGTCAGATTGAAATCAGATTTAAATGCATTTAAAATGATGTGTTGTTTGTCTGAAAGTCTCCGGGCTACACCGAGCAGATCTACAAAACACCGGCGACAGGGAACTCCTCCGCCCTTGTTGTGGATGCAGCGCTGCGGACAACACGTCAGTCCCATCAGCCTCGGTGAAGACTCGTGCATCTGATCACCTGCGGCCCGACGCTCTCGAAAACTAAATAAAACGTTGTCATATGACTGTACGGAAGTAGAGAGGCGAGCTGCGACCTAAGATCCAAACAAGACGACAAGATGGCATCTCACCCAGGAGGAGACGACCCAGGTACGAGCTAACACCGACAGCGTTTTACCATTAGACTGACTGTGACAGTGCCGCCGACAGTTCGCTACACGGAGACAATGTGGCGCCCCGTCGAGTTACTCTTGTTCCGCGGCTGTAGCTTGTTTGCTTGCTGGCGCTAAGACCAGCTGAACTCGGGTTAGCTCGATGGTAGCTAACACTTGGCGCGTTAGCTTGATTAGCCACAACAGTGAGTTAGCAAATATGTGTGATGGAAAGTGAAACATAGACAACAACAGGCGGCTCGGTTACGGTGAAAATGTCAGCCTGTGTCGGGAAATCGCGAACATTCGGTGGCCACAGTTGTGTCTAACTTCGGCCAATTAACTGAAGCTAATTCACTTAGCCAGGAAGCAGCCCTGTGGGTGTATGTGCTGCCCGTGTATACACTGAGTTATTTTACTAACAAACACATAGCACCGCTAAATATGTATACACTGGTCAGTGATAGACAAAAACACTATAGTTTTTTATATGGTATTGCAACGTGGCTGATCATATGTGAACTCACAAACACACCGATCCTTCACATGCAGTTATTCTCTAAGTTCTCACGTTGATCGTGTCTTGAAAGAAAGTGACATTTGGTGTCGATGGTCTTGTATCGCTCCAGGCATTGTTTCACATTTAATGTTAGAAACACTCGTTTAACAACACTTTCTCTAAATGACTACGCTGACATTGTTTATCAGAATGCCTCCGAGACTACTGTTTTCAAATATATTAACAAGAAGTTCCCTCGTTGTTGTCAAGATTCTCTACCGTGTATTTTCATCATTCTGTAATTATTTATTGATCTCTTTTTCCTCTTTTGATTGTATCTAGGCTAAGGTTGTAACTTTTGTTCTTTCTCTCCTTACTTTGTTTTTTTGTAACTGTTGTGTTCCATATCACTGTTGGAGCTTGCACTCCAATCTAAAACAAGATGACACAGCTCAACAGGTTTATCCTATAACAATAAAATGTCCTTTATCTTTTTTAAGTATGCTATAACTGTGGTTGGATGAATTAACACTGATCTTTTGTCTTTCCAGGAAATACCAGAGATCAGATACTGGAAGTGGGAACTGTTTTGCTCAAGGAGTAAGTGTATACTGCACACCCTACCTTCTATTTACTGACCAGGGCAAATAGTCAAATAATACTTATGCGTGTGTATCTTTGTTCCCTTTATCTAGTTTTATCTACAAGCGGGTTCAGAGACACGGAGACAGCAATACTTCAGTGACCAGGGCACAGCTGGGTGGAGGAGAGCTGTGTAACCCGAACCACAAGAAGCTCGCCCAATGTCTGCAACAGATCGGAGACGAGCTGGATGGAAATGTAGAGCTCCAGAGGTAGGCTCCCTGTCTGTGGATCTGTTCAGAAACAAAATATTATGAATTACAAAGTTTTACTATTTATAACTGCTTAACCTGCTCTAATGGCTTAATGTTGGTTTCTCTAGGATGATAAATAACTCCTCACTCAGTCCCACTAAGGAAATGTTTATGAAGGTTGCCATCGAGATCTTTTCGGATGGAAAATTCAACTGGGGCAGGGTGGTCGCACTCTTCTACTTTGCCTGTCGACTTGTCATCAAAGTAATTGCAGTAGCTGAGTTGTGCCGTACTTTATTTATGAAAAACAAAATAAATTGAGACACATCTGTTTAATGAAAACATCATTGAACAAATATCTAAAGCATTTTCCCTTTACACCTCTGTCAGGCTCTTGTGACCCAAGTTCCGGATATCATTAAAACCATCATTAGCTGGACCATGGATTACCTCCGTGAAAATTTGATCAGCTGGATCAGGGAGCAAGGTGGCTGGGTAAGCAGCGCAACACATCATTGATTGGTATTCGATCATCTGCTCCTGACTCCTCTTGAGATATTTGTTAATATCCATGTTTGTTGATCATTTCTTTCAGGATGGTATTTGTTCCTACTTCGGCACTCCTACATGGCAGACAGTGGGAGTTTTCTTGGCTGGTGTTCTCACCACTGTTCTTGTCATTCGAAAGATGTGAGGTTTATATGAAAAGCAGACCGTAGAAAGAGAGGAGGGACTACGACTTTGGGAAATCGGGACAGGAATGAAAACACGAAAGAACATTGGAAGGACAACATAGAGAAATTATGGCTGAACAGGAAGAACTTGCTTTTTGGACAAGGAGAACAACCTCTGCCATCCAATCATGTCTATGGATTTGGAGTTTGACTGTACGCACTGTCCTGCCCATGATTCCTATGCCACTGTGGAAATGAGCTTGGCATAAACACATGCACAAAATGTGGTGGGTAGAGAGTTTGTCAGACCTTGGGAATGCAATTTTAAGTAATTTATTTTTTATTTGGTACAGATAAAAAAATAGTCACTGCATACAGTTTCCTGCCTGAGCAGATATATGGACTGAAATGTTCTCAGTAATTCCTTTATCCATTATTTTCATAGTTGTATTATTTTGGTTCTGTTCAATTTGCTTTTCTGATCTTCCAGCTCTCCAGCCATCTCATTCATCATGGTGTCTGTATCTTATGAATTCTACCAATCTTCTCATGTATTTGTGGGTGTTTACTGGTGTAAATCTGTAGTGATCTGCTGGCAATAAGAGTGTTAGAGGCTGGTCGCATCCAATCAAGATAGAGATATTTTTGCAAACAACACTCAGATTTAACAGTCACATAATCTAGATAATTAGAACCGGAACAGCATTCAGTAGATAACATACCTCCGCCATTGTCAATTAAATGTAGCCACCCAAAACTGCACATGGTCAGAGATAGCAGTCCCCCCAATATGCTTGTTTTTTTTCCCCATCGAGGTGCATGAATTTTCCTCAGATATTGGTGAAAAGGTTAAAAAAAACGTCTTTGTCTCGCAATGTTTAAGAAAGTGGAAAAAAATCCTGCATCTGCCCCTATGTCTGGATCCTCGCTAAAATGTATTGTCTCAGCCTTCCACCAAGTTTTGTGGAAATCTGTTCAATAGTTTTTGCATTATCCTGCAGACAGGAGTCAAAACATCACCTCCTTGGAGGAGGCACCAATTGGTTTGAAACAACTGTAAGTAAGTTTTCCCTCTTTCTACCAATGAAGGCACAACTTAGCCTTATTTCAGTGAAAAAGAAAAGTAACACAACATAAGGGATTTGTGTCAATAGTCATGATCTCTAAAAAATGACATTGAATCACAATTCCTGCCGGTGTTATCTATTGACTTAGGGCATTTCAACCAGCATTATGATCACAATGTGGCTCCCAGTAAGATGACATTTTATTTCCAGTTTATACTGATGCTTCCTGAATTCAAAGGAAGACGTTGCACTGCAGCCACAGAAAGCAATGGATCGCTCACAGATACTTACCTCACTTTATACATATTCTGAGTACTGTATTGTTAACTGAGTTCTTAGATCTGCAATGTTCTCGACACAGCAACAGGCTTTTTATACATTTTTCTTGTTTGTCAGTGCCTTGGTGTTTTTTTTAAGTCTGGAATCAATTTTGATATTCTCAAATTTTCACAGTTTTCTATCACATTTGTAAAAGCTTAACATTACTTGGAAGTCTCCCTGAAAATCTTTTTGCAGTGACTTTGTATGTTACAATATGGAAAATAAATCTTTTAACTGTTACTGTGGATGATGATCAAGAGGCTCACAGCAGGGCCACAAAAAAAGAGCACATTTTTACACTTAAAACGATGTTGGGATAAAATCATCATTGAGGAAGGATTTTAGAATTATTTAAATAAAAAGTTTATTCCTGGGAAGTTCGATTATAAATTACTGCATTTTGTGGGATTCTCTGGCCTATAGGTAGCATGGGAGTAAAGTATTAAGACTACTGAGCATGGAGATAGGTGGAGGTTGAATGTTTGCTGAGAAATTACACAGAAACAGGTCATTAGATTAAATTCTGCACTTGTAGAAGGTTTGGCTTGATAATTGCGGTCTAGCCAACCTGATCCAACCTCGTAGGGGTTATGAATATTCATTGTAAATGTAATGGAATTCAGGTATTACAATAGTTTTCAAGCGACTTTTGAGCCTCTTAAAACAGGGAGCAAATTGTTTAAGTGCAATTTGTTATTGCTGGTGGCGGAAAAACTGATCAAATCATTCTCTGGGATTGATCCAGACCAACTTCTGGGGACCAAAGTAAACCTGACATACAGATATGGTAATTACAATACAACATTGAATTTCATATGAGTAAGTGAGATCAACAATGTATCACAGGTACTGTTTATTGACTTCTTGTTTGTTATAGAAACAAGCAACATGTTAACATCACAGTATTCTCAGCACTTTGATACGTAAAAGACAAAAAGCTAAGATGAACATTATGGCTTCAAAACATGAGGCAGTTCAGGTAGATTTATTTTCACATGGACGCTTGGTCCTTGTACCATTGGACAAACAAAAGGCACATGTACAAAGTAATTCAACACAAGGCGATATGACTGACAGATGGGATGATACTGCGGCGGATGGGAGGAGAGAGTTATCTCGACTCCAACACTCCATCTCTGATCCTCCAACTCCAGGTGGCGCTGAAATCTGGAGCGGGAACGCAGCAGAGCTGCAGACCGGACTCCTGCACCTCCTCGTCGTGAGCGACCTGCTGTCCCTCCTGTGTCTCCAGAGTGAAAACTCTCTCAGAGATCTAAAACGGAGAAACAAGGATTTAAACGTGTGTAACTAACACTGAAACAGACCAACATATGTGTTACAGATCATTCCATATGTATGTAATGTTCTTAGTCCTCACCTGATCACTTATTCCTGTGGCAATGTGGCCCACCTTCACCCGGCGTGTCTCCCTGATCCGGATGCTTCTCCTGTTGAAGTCTCTAATGCAGACGTCCACCCCTGAGCCATTCACACAGCAGAGAGACACGTGATGTAAGTGGAATATGATATCACATTTTACTAATAAAACATTGCCCATGTTTTATCATCTCACCTTCAAAACAACAGGGTGGTGGTAGGTGGGTGTGACCCAGCAAATCCAAACTGAAGACCTGCACATCTGGCTGACTGTTGTAGGAGAAGACACCGGAGCTGAAGTCGTCTCCCGGGCTCAGGGACCAACGACCAGAGTCCTGGGATACGTTAAAAAAAGAAGAGCACAAGCCAAAAGTTCAGTCTGTTAATACTTTCACCAAATGGATGAAGACTTAAGAAGCTTTGTTTACACGGCTCCAAGTTTTACAGTACTTTGACATTCAGCTGCACAGAATTTAGTTGCGTTACCTTTTTGTCCCAAGGTTCCCAGTTTGAATAAGCGTCACTGCTCAGACAAGACAAGAGCTGCACCTGCATCTCAGCAGACTGAGGCTGGGACAGACTGCTCAGGTAGAAATCTGAAAATCAACCAGAAAAACCATGAGCAGAGTTCAAATAACACAAGACTAGTGAAGAAGAGACGCAGAAAACTGAAAGAAACCCCACCTCGCTCCAGTTTACGAAGCTCGAGTTCAGACACTGTGGTTAACTTGTTGCTCCTCTTGTGGTTCGGCTCGTAGATCAGTGTTCGTGGCGAGCACGGCAAGTCTGGCTTCAACTCATCTTCGTCTGCCTCCTCTTCTTCCTCATCATCCAGTTTCTTTATCTTCCTCCCTGTTGTGATTAAGCTCTGGACAGACTCTCGATGTTCCTCCACCTCCTCCACCTCATTGTTATTGATGAGTTGCAGGGAGTCAGGGGGTTTGTTGGCGATGTACAGGGGCTCGGTGTAGGGTCCCTTCACTGGGCTGGTGAGTCCTCCCACTGCAGTCCCAAAAACACATTGCATTAACTCATTAACTAGGAGGATCACGGATATAGGACATAATTATCACGAGTGAAAAGTCCCAACATCCTGTTTTGCCTCCCTCGTTTTTTAAGAGGTTTGATGTTTGAGTCGTCTCCAGTTTTTACCATGAGCTCAAAGCAATAAACTGATGAGCAGCAGCGTGTGGTGAGTGTTTACAGTTATTGCCCTAGGTTCTGCCTGTCAGGCTACTTACAGGCTGTCATAGCTTAAGTGTTGCAGCCTAAACGTTCATTTATTCTCTATGTTAAATATATACCAATGGAGGCTTCATTTTGTCCATGTGCATGTCTTCTGAAAGCTTTTGGATACAGAAGAAACTGACAAAACAGACAAAACAGGAAGCACCGGAAACCGTTCAAGTGACACAAACTGTTTTCAGAAACGCCTGACTCTGCCCACACAAAGAACACATCGATTGAAACGAGACAAATATCTTTTCATATGTAAAGGGAAGCATAAATGAGCTACACTTGGGCTTAAAAAAACACTGGCCAAACCATATTTCTACTTTATCTTTCTAAAAAAAGGTATGAGTGAAACAACACTTTGTTGTCAAGATGCAAACACAACATTATTTATAAGTAAGTGTTCTACAAACTAACAGGGTGCTGTTACAATTGGAGGGTTTACATGCCATTACTATGGACAGCACAGAAGACCATTTATTAAGAATTTATTGTTTTCTCTTTGTTGTCCTTCTGAAAACCAAACCTTTGCTGTAGAATTATCCATCACTTGCTAAGTGACTTGATAAGAACAGGTAGGGTTACAATATAGGACTTACATGCCATTATTATAGAATAGACCGGTTTAATAAATTAATCCCTTATCATTGGTTTCTCAATTGAAATACATGTTAGTATTTGCTTTGTTTTCCCTCTGGAACCTTTACTGTGGGATTATAATCATTTGCATTGATGGGAACACTGCAACAAATGCGGCATAAGTTTCATTACCTTCTTTCAGAGCTCTGTCAGTTTTTTCTCTCAGGTCAAAAGCGGACACTCTCTTTATCGGATCCTTCTGGAGTCCCGCCTTCAGAACGTCAGCTGTGAGAGGGTTACAGTCAGGTGGGATCTCTCTCAGAGGCGGTGGCTCATTAGCAATCTGTAACCGTCATAAAAACATAGCCTGGGTCAAGCTTTTGATACGAATAGAACAGCAAACATCTGTGCTGAGGCAACAGCGTCTGTGTGTGGATGTGAAAGATACCTTCAGGTACAGTCTACAGGTGTAGTATCTTGTCCAAGGTTGACACCCGTTGAGCATGTGCAGTAACATACAGCAGCTGCTCCACACATCTGCTTTGGCTCCGCGGGGTTCCCCTTTAACAATCTCAGGGGCCATGTGGGTCTCAGTGCCCTTCAGATCTGCATTGAATTACATTGGGTAAAACAGTGGATTAACACGTGGAGGTGGATCAATTACACATCTGCTTGACTGAATCGCTGAAGTTCCAGGGTATTTACCATTAGACCCACAGAGGCTCTGTCCCTGAGTGTCGAGTCTCTCTGCGTGTCCGAAGTCGCACAGGAAGGTGTCGGTACCATCGTCCGACAGCAGCACGTTGTCAGCTGTGGGGGAGACAATGATCCACTGCATTAATCTGCTTCGAGCACAGAGGTTAACAAACGTTGTTTTCGAATGTTGTTTTCGAAGTGCTCTTTAAATAAACTGATTGGAAATGACTGGACTAATCTCGACACTGCTCAGCGCTTGCAGTGGCACTTTTTCCATAACTTGTGCAGTTGACAGCACGGACGACATAATTAGAAACAGGGCAGCTGCACAAACATAAAACAGACAAAGGAGCAAAATGGAAGGGAAATATGAAGTCACTGGAGTACAGCTGCTGGAGAAAACGCTAATGTGGAATGAATGTGGAGACTAATAAACAGGCAGCAGATAAAAGCCATTTGGCGTCACTGCCTTGTTTTTCCTGTGGCCTTACAGACACCAGGTGGCGCCTGAGCTGCAACAGCACCCTCATGTTTTTTAGCCTTCTTCAAGTTTTTCTTTGTCCATCCTCTTACATAGTTCCCTTTCTGTTTTCCCTTTCCTTTTTTCATTTCAATTATTCATTTTCATCCCCTGTCCTCTTTCTCCTGTCGTTCTCTCCTCTAACTACGTTTTGCTCCTTGTCTCACGCCCCCACCTTCCCTGTTTCGTTCTCCTTTTTTTTTTCTTGCTCTCCTGATTCTGTGCACATGCGCTGTTTCTTAGAGCAGTGGTGAGTCACACTGTGGGAAATTCCCAGCTCGCCGTTTTTTTCTCTCTCTCTGTGGTTGTCTGGTTTCACAACACAGGTGCCGAAGAGATCAAATCTAGACCTTGGGACACTTGTGTTCCACACAACAGCTGCACAAAGACACAAAATCCTCTTGATGAGAACTAATAAGAAATCTGACTTACTCTCTCTGCGTGTTTTTATCTTTCACTGGGAACCACAAGAACTTTGTTTTGCCAGTTTCAGTTTGTGTTACAACTAAGCTGGAAACTGTTTGTGTCTGATTTTTTTGTTGAATCACTGTTGTTACTTTAGAGGTAATGTCTAAAAGGACATGGGGGTGTTATTATGGAGACAATAAAGAGATAAAGATTAAGTTTCCCCACAATATAACGGAAAATGTAGATATATTAGATAAACCTTCAAGAGATCAAATCATATTTATAGTTATGTTTTCTCCTGTCTGTTTGTTTGTAAGGAGGATAACACAAAAACAAGTGAACAGATTTCCACACGTGGATGTGGAAAGTTAGAGATCACATTCAAATTTGGCTGTGGAGTCAGATAAGATTTTTTTCTTTAACATTG